GAAAACATCAAAACTAGCTAATTTCATCAGAAATCTATTATGATGATAATGGATGTTTTATTGTTTTCTCAATGGACATGAAAAGTTCAAAGGATGCTTATTAAAAATACTTAGTCAAAAAGACCTTACATCTGAGTATTCTTTCTAGTTAATAAATACCTTCTCTTTCAACATTGCATTACTTTTTGTCTATATAAAGTTTGCATCGAATGCTCAGTATATATTTTTGTGCCTGAAATCATTCAAAAAGAAGAAATAATGCAAATGTTGGCATCGTGATTTTCAGAATAGCAGAAGACTTTGAAGTTGATGAAGCCATTTGCACACTCATATGCTCTCAACTGCATAGTTCAGATTCGATTCACTTTTATTTTTCTCATATAATATTTATCTGTTGTTTCTTTTCGGGCTCGACGATTCACACGAAAGTAAACAATTACTGTTTTTACTTCATCCTTCTGCAGTAGGTTTTATGATACCATATTCGACAGCATAGAATTAAAGAAGTCAGAATTTAATAATCTATTATTTTTTGTCGTCTGGAAATCTCATTAGAAAGAATAAGAAAGAAACCAGTCCCTATAATCGTGATTTTGATCTTGCCACAATTGTCACTACGTTTATTCGGATGGAGCATCGATTGATAATACGAACTTGAGTGAATCATGGATATGAAGGATATGCAATGTGGTTCGAATAGAGACTTTGGTCTTATCGACATCCGAAAATAAACAATTACATAGGAACAAACCAGAGATAATTCACATCCATTTTAAGCGTCTTCACACATCTTTTATGATGAAAGTAGCTGATTTGTAAGTTTTCTGAGTAGACACAAAAATGTTTAAATGAAAACGGTGACTAGGGTGTTTAAACACATTTTCAGAAAGTTTTGTCTCCTTGGATAACTCGTCGAGTTTTATGCACATAGTTATTATAGGTATTCATTTAAAAATGATCTTACATCTGAATATCCTTTCTGACCAGTCAATACCTTCTATTTCAACGTTGCAATGCTTTTCGTCGGCATAATACTTGCATCAAATGACTAGTATTTTTTGTTCTTAAATTCATTCAAAAGCAGCCCAAGCAAACAATATTGTACAAAAGCGTTTTTTCGAACGTGTAAGCACAATGAAACTTTATTTTTGGACGTGACTACGATTAAAGTTTTCTCATTCAGTATTAATAGACGCGTAAACGTTCCGAATATTGTTTCTTTGAAAGGTTTTTTATGTTCACTTCTTCTCACATGTGTGTAAGTTCTTGAAAATTAGAAGTATCAGACATTTTGTGTCCACATTTTTGTTAACGACAGTACTGTATAAAATAACCAGCATATCAATACTCATCAGTTGTTCGCTTACTTAACTCATGAAATCTGGCACGTTAACAATGAAAAATAGGGAGCGTTTCAAGTGTTCTACAGTTAAACTTTTTATTTTCATTTCATGCTTTCGAAATAAGAAGTAGTACATAAAATACACATACATGCATCGAATCAATATTTTTGTAGCATTTTAACGCGTAAGAAGAAAAATGCTTTGTAAACAATGTGAAAACACAAGTGAGACTATTTTGAAATACATATTCTTTGCATTTTTTTTACTTTTTTTTGAACATGTGTTCAAACGTTATATTTTCCCGCATTTTAACAACACTTCCTACTGTCATAATCATAAGAACACGTATTGATCTCGCATACAAAACACAAAAAGACAGACGTTATCTAGAGTTAGAACAGCAAGTAGAGTTAATACAAAGACGATTATTTGTGAAAAAAGAAAATGATAAAAAGACTACGTTTGCTTATCCGACAGTCAATTAATAAAGGATACGGTTAAAATGAAGAAATACTTCATTTCATGTTTCGACCTCGACTATCGACTTTCCGACAACAATGAAAACATGTGTTAGATGTTCTATTTAGATACATCCTCATGGAATTTTTCTGATTTATATAAAGCAATCTAAATGGTTTACTCTATTTTCATTTATATTCATGTTCGTGCTTATTGGTTATGGAAGCGAGGAGAAAGAGAAGTTATTTCATAAGCAACATACTTATTCTTGAATTCAAACTTCTTTTTTTCTTTCATGTGCCTTTTGAAACGATCAACACAACTCATTCTCACTTTACACACATGGACACAACATTTTCGCCTAATTTTTCATTTTCTCTACTTTGTAATCTAACGAAACGTCTTTTTTTATGACACTCATTTTGCTTTGATAGACCGATAGATAAGCGGGCAGAGGTCTGTTCACCACTGAGAAGAAGAGAAGAGTGGCGAAAAAATGGACAGTGATCATGAAAAGTGGGAAAACGTCTTGAGATATGACAGCGTCGGTAGTTGAAAAACCGTTTTAGATCTGTATACTCATCCATACATATTATTGCTTAATTAACATCCAATGATTAAAAGTGATTCCGTCTATAGAATACTGAGAAAAGTATATAGATCACAGTTAACGATTTAAGTTAATGAGCATAGAGTGTTATCAGTCTGAGTTTTCGCTAGTTTTAGAAAAATTTTCCATTTAGTCCTGAAATACCCCAAGGCATCTTTTAAACTAGAAAAAAACATATATTAGAATGCCCTATATTATATATTAAGAGCAAATAAAGTTCGATAAGTGTCTTCAAAAAAAAACCGAGAAGCAATGCTTATAGATATAAGAATCAATGCCAAGATGTTTCTGCCAAAACTTAGGTTGATCGTTTAGCGTTATTTCTCTAAATATAACTAGCCTTAACTAGGTATAGAAAAAATGAGAAGAAAAGCAGTCTCTTGCGTACATTTTCCTTGATGTTTCATAATATTTCATAGCTATCTTAAACAGAAATCTTACTGTTTAGTACCAAATTTGATTGAATTTATATACAGAAAATAACACTAAATCTAAATAGCTAGAAATCAACCAATCAATAAATACTAGAAACAATATTTCTCATCGTGTCTGAAACAGGATATATGTCCACTTTTAAATACTCACCAAATAATTATTGCTATGTAATATAATATGCTAAAAATTACTCATACACGCAATGATGATGTTGTATGTGACTAGCCTCTGGGTACATAGGATGTGAGTGTAGGTGGGTATAGGTCTACTTTTTCAAAGACACCCACTGTTTCGGTGACATCCAAACTCTAAGGCGTTTAAAAAAGCATCTTTTGCATCTGTTTGTAGATAAAAATGAACTTTTTTATGCGTGTTGTCTGTCAAAAATATGGTAAGCAAACTTTTTTTGATGTTTTCCACTTGCAACAGTGGCCATTGTAAGCATCTTCATGCATCTTTTATGATAAAAGTAGCAGATTTTGACATTTTCTGAGTGGACGTGAAAGTCCTCAAATGAAAACGAGATTAGGCCCTTTAGAACACGTTTTCAGAAATTCTTTTCTGCTTGAATATTCTTTTTCGTCTTATGAGAGACAAATGATTCCAGCTGTGATGAAGATTTTATTGCGTATTTTTATTGATCGTTGAAAACTGGTTGATCGATTTCCTTACTCACGTTGCTTGACGAACTAGAATTTGAGAAATCAGAAAAAGCGCTGACCATCTGTTGAATGCTGTCGCTAACCGTTATTTCTTTAACTCAAGATAACAACCTTACACCCAATTGAACTTCCTAGTTCAATACTCAAGCTATTCGAAACAAAACATCTTTTCCAAGTGTCATACAATAGAAAAGTTAAAGAGATTTTCTGCAAAGAATATTTATTTGATATTAACTTGCACATAGCAGAACACAGAAAGTTATGTTCTTCCAACAAAAATATTTATTTATTTGACATTTTCCATGAGATGAGATTCCAGTCGAGTAACATTGTACTATTAGCATCATGTGTATCTGCTTTGCTGCGAACGTTCTGTTTGGCTGTGAAGATCAACACACGGTATCGATCTTGTTCGATCTCTGCAAGATATACAGCGTCGTCTACTGCAAAACCAAAAGCATGATTTTCTCCAATAATGATGTGAAAGTATTCAGTGGGATATTGCTTGGCGAGTTCCTTGCGAAGATAGTCACTGATATCCGCGCAGGTGCCTATCATTGTTGGAAATGTTTGACTACTGTGAAATGCAATGTTGACTAGACGTTCACAGGTCTTGCCGAATCTTTCTAAGCTTGCAGCGACAAGAACAGCACGTGAATGATCTGTGGACGAAGTTTGACTAAATGATATCGTGTTCAAGGTGTGACTAGTTGGTTTCAATGTACTTCGTTGAACACCCTCGCCAGAAGTGAATGTAGATGATCGTTTTTTCTTTTGACGATGATGATCTGCAGCATCGATTGTGGCAGTCGTGAGTAAGCCCAATCCAGTACCGAGTAATGCTCCGAACAATTGATCCATTTGGTGCGTGTGTCAATGAAATGTAAAACACAGGTGTATATGACTCTCAGAATATTCATTTGTATTTTAAAGAATATTTTATGATGACTATCAATGGTGACGCACTCACATACATGTGTCACTTTATCATGAGAGAGATAGTGACATCATGAAACCGGGGTGTGTATGGAAATATGATTCACGGATATTGTAAAACAGAACAATATATATCATTGGTTATATTCGCCTTAGCGTCATCTATCACTGCTGCTAACAATAAATAAGTGACACAACAAAGAAAAATTCAAAGACAGAGTATGGAAGCAAACGAAATTGCCAGTAAACTTTGAACATTATCCACTCTTTTATTAAATATTAAAGCTTCATGCTGAAAACGTGTTGATCTGTAAAGGAACTTTGTGCAATGAATGTTCGAATTCTTCACACTTTCTTCAAGAGAATTGGTTTTTTCACGTTGTCCTAATCGATAGACACTGGAATTTTTCAAAAATAAAAACTGCAGTGTGTGATATGCTGATCATCATAAGAGACGACCGAGCAATCGTAAACAATGCTTCACTGCAGATGCTTCAAAACCTCAGGGGCTCTGTTATCAGATACTATCTCACTTCATATTGTGTCGGCTTTCATTTTAATGAAAAGAATATTTGCAACATTTCTTTCAAGGAATTGAATTGTTTTTACAATAAATATGATAGATCTGTTGTGTTGAACTTTCAAGAAATTATATTACCGTTTATAGATCCGGTTGAATTTATCCAGTCGTTTCCAGCACGTCGTGCTCGCTAAACTATAGTCGGACGGAGAAAGTAGTCACTATTTCGCTTAATATCCAAGTAATATCTTACTCCATGAATATTTTTAGAGTGTAGATGTAACACCTGCGCATTCCTGAATAGAAGAAGTACACCCTCACTCACATTCACATTATACTAGTTTGTACTTAACCAGATACACATACGTACTCAAAAATCCTGATGATACAGAAATAAGGTGAAGGATAATGTAAAGTTATTTTTCTCTCATTTGTTTGCTATTCTTGTCACCATCTCATCGCTTTCTACAAGATAAGAAACAAGCTCGGTTTTCTTATAATACAATATGGGCAGATTCACTTTTTTTGTAAGCGCTTCAAAGCGTCACAAATAAACAACGCTTAAACAAAAAAAATTCTCTTTTTTCTTCTTTTCTCAAGAAGATTAGCCTTCTCTTTTCATAGTTTGTCTACTTTCATAGAAGATGGCTGCTGCTGCTGTTGCTGAATCTGTTTCATCAGTACTAATATATATGATACAGTAAAAGAACGAATTTATCAGTTATTGTTAACACACTTCAATTCACATCCATCAGCCATAGATCAAAGTAAAACAAAAACAATACAAATGGTTTAACACTAACTGAACTATGCAGAGAATACGAACATCGTTATAATAATAGTAGATTACCTTTTCCAAGAATTAGGTTATGAAACATTAACACGTTTGCTATCGTCGATGAGAGATACTGTACGCATGAATTTCAATAAGTGGCTCGCCACATGTTACTTACGAACTAAGACCATTAGCGAATCTAAGAATGTTTCCCTGGGAGTGCGGAAGGGGTCAACTCCGAAGGGAGTTGCAGTGGCCTCCACGGTGGATCCGCCACTAACTAATCTTAATAACAAAAGACGAATGAGTGGAATATGCACGTGTTCGACTTTTGACTGCTTGACCTTATTTTTTATGTTTAGTCTAAAACTGGTTCTTCTGTAACGTATGCCAATGTGAAAAATGAAATTATCTTATTGTTACAATTATCTTCGAAAAATGATAATGTTTCATCACTTACATTTACAGATTTATGTAATCGATATTCAAAGAGACATAACGGGGAACAATTAGGTTATTCATCATTACAGGCAATGTTAGAAACAATATGGGATTGCATACGAGTTGACAATCGACGATGTGATGTAGTCAGTAGAAGTGCGAATGAAAAAGATAGAGTTAGAAAAGGAAAAAATACGAATAAATTTAAAGAAGGTCAGATAATAGGGAAGGATCAGTTAACTGCTGCCTCATCTGATTTAGACGATGAACAGTAGAAATTTGTTGTGCGAATAATTTTGTGTATTTATTTTTGTTCTTCTGTTTCGATAAAACATATTCCGTTTGTATTATATTGTTTGCTTTTTGTGAAAGAAGTGGTGGAGAGTTCATGTTAGTTACTCTATAACCAATAGTATTTAAATTATGCTGTGTATACCATAGTTTTTGGTTGTTCTTCATCGGTGCCCTCGGCAACGACACAAAGTCTTTGAATCATCCTCATACTCAACCACGAAATCGATCATCTTTTTCTAATCATCTGAATGTGTAATGAATAGTTTCAATTTCTGCAAAGTTTGGTAATCGATCTGCATTAAGGATTCAACTTGCCATAAAAGCTTTCTAGCACTGACTGCACTTGTATTTTAGGCGTGGTGCACATCTCCGTTGTTAATATTAGTATTTTATTTTACAAAATCTAATGGAAATATGAGAAATTTTTCTCACGATTTCATTTCTTAACATGAACAACATTATTTCATATTATTTTATTTATATTTTATTATGAAGAAACTAATTTTACAATTTTACTATATGTTTTCTACAAAAACTTCTGTTATGTTTATTCATTATTCAAACACAGATTTTCTTATAGAAAAAGAAAAAAAAAGACCAATTAATGGAGACACATCAAATAAAAAATAAACGGAAAAAATAAAAAAATAAAAGCTCTCGTTTTTTGAATAGCAGAAAAAATAAAATGAAGTGTTTGTACAGAAAAAGTAACCGGGATTTGTTTTTGTACGTCTAAATAATTTTGATTCTATTCTAATGTGCAGCCGTAGTTGAACGAGCTACATGTCCAATTAAATAAATATTATCATAAAGATGACCAGCTAATTCATCACTTAATGTTCCATTGATTACAGCACGACGTGTATTACGTATAAATTCACGTTTCGACATTTTATTTTTGACATGCGGTGATGTCAAATCAATGGAAAGAAGAATTAATGAAAAACACAGTACATAAATTGTTTCTAGAAAAAAACAAAACGAATTCTATATATTGCATTTTATAGTTCATAAAGACATATACGAACCGATTGATAAGCCAAGGTCTTTGTTACATTCGTGAAAACGTTTGGAAAAATTTTCGATCAGAAAAGATAAATATTCATTACGATCTTCCGGTGCATCAAGTTTGGCAAAGAATTGACGTAAAGCATTCGGCAAAAATTGATTTTCGTATGACTGAAGTTCAATAAGACGTTCCAAAATATCACGACTGAAAATAGAAATATTCAAGAAAGTCATATTCAACGAGATAAAAATTTCGAAAATGATTCTCTGAATTTATAGTAATTGCTTCAATGTGTGACATTATTACCTCTTATGCATAGTTTTCTCGATACACAAATCAAAGATAAATATTTACAAAAGTTCATTAAATAAGACACGCCTATTAAATCAACATTTGAAATAATAAAAAACAAGCATTCAATGCTGAGAAGAAATAATAGGCTTCATATATCTATGTCTCTAGACTTATGACCTTCTCTATACTTTGTTTTTTTCTTTGTGAAATCGTCTAATTTCTGTTTCTAGAACTTAATTCATTTTAAAATAAAACAAAACTACATGTTACTCCTTATTATAGATTGAAAAATAACAGAAGAATGTCAATATGAAATTTTTATGAATATGTAGAGCACGAAAAGCAATACTATAAAAAAAATTAGATGATCTCCGTGTTTTACGACGTTTCGATAGTAAATACATTCATAAACAAAACGTGGCATTTATCATTTGATAGCAAAAATGAATTATTAGACATTAACGAATGAAACTTAGATATCTATTATATCTTTTAAAATAGAACTGTAATTATATCATTTTCTTTTCATTATATATTCTTAAACGTACCGTGTTTGTAATAATTTACGCTTTTCAGTGGCTCGTAATTTTCTTGTATTATGGATAAATTTACTTATTTCTTCACACGTATTGTCAAGCAATTCATTTTCAATGAAATATTGCAGACCCTATAAAGATAATAAAATGAATACTAACGAATAAAATAAAAAAAAGAAAACGTTCGTATTACTTGTCCGGCATTAAATCGTAATGTTCCTTCATCAAGTTGTAAAAAAATTTTACGAAATGAAATACCATCATTTCGAGCTCGATTATAAATTGATGCATAAGCCCAATTCGATTTGCATAATCTTTAAAATCAAAAAAAAAAAATAATAAGATTTTTTCAAAATCAACAAACTATTTTCTTTACCCAAGCCAAAGTATTTCATCATTAGCTAATGTTTGCCAAACACATGCAGCAAGACATAAATCAGTAGCATTTAAATTTTTAAGAATTTGCAAAGCTAATTCAGGTGGTAATTGAGATATATCAGAAATTTTTGTGACTAAGCATGAAAACAAAATGATATCAAAAAAATTTTTTTTTTTTCTAAGAATAAAATCTATACTTTGATTTTTACTATTGCTTGTCGGCCCGGCAAATTGTAGATCGAAAATTTGACCCATCGTCAATGATTAAAATCAATTTTTAATCGAACGAATATGAAGCCGAGCCGACTTGCGACGATGACGTGTACAAAAGATGTCGACGTGGAAAGGTAAGTAAAATGTGTGTCAGATTAGATTGTATATTTTTAGTTCGTTTCTTTTTACTTTATTTGTTTAGGAAGAACGTGAAGAAAAAGGAAAGCAAAAAACTGTCGTACTAAAAAAAGAATTTTCTTTCTATCGTTAATGATTGGTGGAATAGATAACGAATGAAAATAAATAGTAGTAATAAAATTTAAAAAAATATAAAATAAACTAAAATTTATGCATATTTTCAATAAATTCTTGTTTAATAGTGTGATTGAAACAAATAAATAACTTAGAAGTTAATCATATAGTTGCCAAGTAACCTGTTTGTAAGACAATTATCAATGGCGTTTACTTTTAGCAACATTGTATAGAAACAAATTTTAGAGATTTTATTTATTCGAAACTGTATCTTTAGGTAATATATTTTTTCAAGGTTATGGTCAGTCATACTATTTTCTTATTTAGTAATTGAGATGTTATTTAGAAAAGTTTTTCTCTAATCTAATATTGATTTGATATGTTAAAATTCAATTATTTGAATTTGTTAAAATATAGAAAATTTATCGAATACAAATTTTTTTTTCAATAACGAAAACTTTATTGTACATATATATAGTGTCCGAAAGATTTCTAGTTCTTTCTCTCTCTTAGAAACCTTCGATATAATTGATCAGAATATTCATCAGTTTACAAATAATTAATTAACTCTTTACCCTCCGAACATCTATCCAGTACACTTGATGTTTAGTCAACCATGGAAATAGCTTATGCTGGTGCTTATGAAGATATCGATATGGTTCGATTTGGAGAAAGTCATTTCACTACAGCAAAGATGCAGGATAGACCATAAATGATCTATTCTTCTTAATTATCGTGAATTATTTTTTGAGAAATAAGTTATTTCGGGAGATTATATATAATTAGATACTTCCAAAGGCGGCTATTTTCAGATTGTAATCAATTTTTTTCATTTTCTGGATGGTGCTGGAATTGTTAGTCTTCATTTTCTTTCCATAATATGGAATTATTGAGTTTGATTTCGATTCAAAGCCACTCATTCCTATTATTAAGGTCTCGTCTAGAAGGAAGATCAGAATAGAACTTGCAGATTTCTATTGTTTAACGATAAGAAGTTATTTAAAAATAGTCATGAGATAGAGAGCTTTAGGTTTCACCTTTAGAAAGCAGAGATGAAGAGGTATCAAATCGTATATAATAAGTTCTTTTTAAGGCGTTCATTTGACCTTTTGGAAAAGCAATGTATTCTATGAAGTGAATATACTAAATTTTGAAATATCAAAAAATAAAATAACTCTAGAGAAACTATTTTTATGTTAATGGATTGAAACAAAAAAAAATGACGCAGCCGGGGGGGGGGGGGGGGAATAAACAAACGAGTATTTTCTTCTTGAAATCTTTGTTTAGATCATTGTAACAATTAAAAACAATGTCAATCATTCCACCATCTGGTTCACTTGTTCGATTTGATAATCCAACATTGATAACAGCACAAAATGAAAAAGATCGTAAAGCACTCGGCGCTAGTAAACAACAAACAGCATTAGATCAACAAATGATGGATGTTACTGGTGGTGCTGGTACAAGTTCACCACAATTAGGTAGAAAACAACAGGCTATGAAAGATTTATCATTAGAAGAAATTCTTGATAAAATTCTTCCACCAAAGTATAATTATTCTTTTTAAATTTTCAATATTTTATTTATTTCGTATCTAAATAGAATAACAAAAGATCCAAATAACTCAGATTTACTCTATTGTCAACGTATATCATCAACACCAGCAACACGTCTTGATGTTATTAATTTACAAGAACAATTGGATATGCGTTTACAACAACGACAAGCTCGTGAAACTGGTATATGTCCAGTGCGACGTGAACTTTTTTCACAATGTTTTGGTAAAAAAAGAGAAGAAAAACAAGTTGTTTTTTGAAATTTCTTCTTTTTTTTCGATTCATTTTAAACAGATGAACTTATTCGTCAAGTTGCTATTAATTGTGCTGAACGTGGTTTACTTCTTCTACGTGTACGTGATGAATTACAAATGACTTTACGTGCCTATCAAACACTTTATGAAAGTAGTGTAGCATTTGGTATGCGTAAAGCATTAATGGCTGAACAAGGCAAATCTGAATTAGAACGAAAAGTTTGTTATTGAATAAATTTTATTTGTAAATATTTTTGTTGTTTTATTGTAAATTATTATTCTTATTTTAGTTAGTACAACTTGAAGAAGATAAGCGTGATCTTGAACGACAACTTAAAGAAACAAAAGCAAATGCAGAAGCAGCTGAAAAAAAATTAAATGAACAACGACAAGTTGAAGAAAAAAAACATATGGAAGAAATAAATTTTTTGAAAAAAACAAATCAACAACTCAAGGTTAGATTTCATAAAAGCTAAAAATAAAAAGATAATTTTGTTTTGTTGTTCTTTAGGCTCAATTGGAAGGTTTAATTGCACCAAAAAAATAAATATAATGATAATTTTATTTTACTGTATACATTTATTATCAATGAGACCATCAATTCTGTGCTTTTCTTTTCAATATAATTTGTCTCTCTTTTTCATTAATAAAATAAATCCTCAATAAATTTATCAAAAACGACGTAAATCGTTTACAAAAAAAATAAACGAAAAGAAAACTTCATTTATGTGTTGATTGTTCTGTTTTGAAAATATAATGGAGAATTATTGAAAAGGAATTCAGCAAAATATTCGTTCATTTCTCAGTTTCTTGGTAAGGAGCCTGAAGGAATTTGAAAGTATGATTTCCAAATTTTCGAAATACGGTAAAATCCATTACTGATCAATCTTAATCGAAATTCTTTTTTTTTTTTGTATGTAAGACAAGAAATTCTAAGTTTTATTCATATAGACAAAGTTCACGAATATTTTTTTTTGAACTTTGTATTTTCGAAACATTAAAGTTATCAACATATGAAAAATATAAAATATTGGGTACTTAAAAGTCTGATATTTTACCATATGAAACATAGGAAGACATTGTTGTTTTGTTCAATGCAAAAGTCTTTGCAAGAATGTCAAACTCTTGTTAGATCATATTGCCAACTTCTTTTCGTTGTCGAAATCATTGAAGTTCTTCTTAAATCTTTTGTAAATTGAAAGCAATGCGATAACGGAACATCATGAAAAGAGTCGACTTATCTAATTTTGCTCTATCCAAAAAGTTTTAAATGGATGCCAGAAAACTGATATTGGGAATCTCGGTTATGCAGGGATCCTCATTCAAGCAGTGCTGTAAAGGTTTTCAGACACATAAATTCTAATAGAAAATCCTTTCAGCTACTGAAAAGTACAACTGCTCTAAACTTTTGTCTCTCAATATATGTCAGAACATACAAATTTAGCAGAAAAAAAAACGGTTGGCTTTTTCTCTTTCAAAGATTGTTTCTGGAAAATTATGTCTGAATTACAAAACTTCCAGTTCAGACATTACTCTTTCCAAACGAAAAAAAAAACAATTGATTGGATTAAAATTTGACAATATGATCTAAAACGAATTTGACATTTTTGCCAAGATGACTTTTGCATGTTATGTTAATCGATCCTATGATAATCGTACTAGATCAATTACGTTAATTTAAGCTCATATTATTGTTGATTTTTAATTCAAAATAATGATTAATTGTACTATGATTTATTTTGATTTGAACATTAAGAATAAATTTTTTTGATTAAAAATTTTCTTTAAATTCAATACATTAACGCCCTCTTCTGTTTCAATGTATAATCGTTAATAGTTAGTGGTGACGTTGATTCATCCACAGATTGATTTTTTTTTCTTTGATTGTTTTCACACATCGTCGCAACGTCATACTTTTCAATTTAATCATCTAATTGATCAATATGAGCAGTGGAAAAAAACAACAAAGTAGATATTTATAAAAATATTCTTTTTCTCTATATAAACATTTTTCTTTTCTAATATGTAGAAAAACGACAACGTCAATCATCACCACCTCCAGCACCACCACCGCCATCATCACTCAAATCTCATTTAGCTCAACGATTACAAAGATTACGTAGTGGACAACGAGATCTGTGGGCGGATGATAATGATGATAATACTACTAATCAAAAAAAGAAACAATCAAAAACAACAAATAATAAAAGAACATATATTATTTTATCAGATTCTGATGAGGAACGATCATCATCATCACAAAGACGATTACGAAATACTAGATCAAGAAAAAAATTATCACGAAATCATGATGAAAATGTTAATAAAAATGCAACATGTTTAATTTGTTCAATTTTATCTCAATTATCATCACATAATTGTTGTTCAGAACATTTATCTATTCTTAAAAATCATTCCGATCATCAACAACGAACAACTAATTCTCAATGGTTACCAGATAAGGTTATGATTGTACCTGTAACAGATGAACTTGTTCAACGTTATCTTGATCCAGAACAAATTTATAATTTACGAACACAAACATCAATAACAAATAAAAAAACTTCTGAACCTATAACATCAGTAAATTAAAAAAAAAACATGCTCATTTTTTTCCAAAAGAGAATAAGATATTTTTCATAAAGCTGTACTTTCTTTATAGACTTTGAATAAATCAACGATGACATTAGATCTGTTTGATATAGAACAGTCAAAAAAAAATATTCCAAGGCCATCAAAACAGTAAGTTCAATATTTCAATATATTATGAAACTTTTTTTTTTGGAGCTATATAACGCCCAAGTGTAATAAGATAAATATTTGAAATTACTTATATTAAATTTTGTCAACATACAACAAATACTGATAGAAGTATTTCAATTTCTTATCAAAAGTTTAAAGAAATTGTTTCTCTATATAATCTTATAATAAAACTAGTGGACTCTTATTTGATCATTCTTCAACTATAAAGTATATTAATAAAATTTCGATAAGAGCTATGTGTTATCATATATGGCGGTAACGTTAGATAAAGTGTTGTATTTCATTTGTGTTCTTTTCTTGATAGTTTTTTCGTCTCTCAGATACATATTAGAATAAAGTCATGAATCAACAAGAGAACAAAAGAAAATTCTAGAAATGAATGTAATGAACTGTGAATAATCAGGACGATTATTTCGAACATTTAATAAAGATAACTATGACATAATACGAAACCTCTTTCTTTGTTTATTTTATTTTTTTTTATACAGCCTAATATATATTAGACTGCTAACCATTAGAAGATACGAGAAAAAAAAACAAAGACGACTCATGTCATAACAAACAGCTCTTATCGAAATTTTATTTTTATAATATTAATCGAAAAATAATGAAATATTAGAGAAATGTAGAGCCTTATTTTTACATTTCCATCACTAGTTTTAGTATGTCCTAAGTATTGTTTTTTTTTTGCTTTTGAAAATGAATTGAAAAGTCAAGAAATGCAAACTACTTGGATTATTCAGAAAATTTGTTGAATAACAAGACAACATTTGATATTTATTTTATTTCCTATTTAACATATCACAAATTGTGTTCCTTGAGGAATACAAACTTCTAACGAGAAAATATTTCCAGATTGTTAAGGCCATCCGTTTGTGCCTATGGACGTTCCTTGCCAAATTTTAAATTGTTCGAATATTTCAGAACGATAAATATTTGTATTGCATATTCTTAAGATTGTAAATTTGGAAAGTCTAGTATAATCTAGTTATCATTAATTTTGTTCTCAAAAATCATTTACCATTACTTTCACTTGCATAGAAAATATATGAACAATTTAAAACTCGGGAAAGCATACAAATTGTTTGGACGCTTTTCATAGTTCATCGAATGTCTAATTTATATGTTTATCTATCTATAGATATATGATTTATATTATAGCTAAGAAAACTCGTTTATTTTTATATTACAGATCTTCACATGTGAATATTGAACCACTTGCTTCAACTATTGTCGTAGCATCAGCATGTTCAAATTCATCAATAATTCAACCTGATGTAATCGCTACAACTGTGTCAACATCTTCACCAATATCAGTATCTAATAATATCGAAAATACAACTACTATTGATCAAAATCCATTAGAAAAATCACCTATTGAAATGATTATTATCGATGATACTCCAACTGATAATCAACAAGAACATGAAACAATAAAACCTACGAATAATAATAATCAACAAATGAATCCATGGTCACCAATTAGTGATGAAATTGATGCTGCTCTTGAACAAGTTCTTATTCAAATTGATGCATCTAATAATGTTCCACTTGAATTTACACCAACAACAGCTCGACGAACAGATACAGAAATAATGGCTGCTCTTCTACCTAAAATACCATTAAAACAAGGACGATTTCGTTCCGGTAAACCAATCATAAATCGTTCAACATCGAATGCAGCTAATGAATATCGACCATTATCAACTGCTCAATCGTCTCCGTTGCCATCATCCGTTATTAATAAAAAGTAAATCATATCTCGAATGTTTGTTTTTTGTTTTTAAAGAAACATTTATTTATCAATAGTAATTCAGTACCTATGACCACTAATGTTACAAAGAAATCATCCTCATCAATATCATGCCAAACTGCAAATGATTCCGAAAATTTAACTGATAATCGTAATGATGTTGCTACTAGCCGTATATTAACACCGGATGAAACAAATCAACATGATAATAATATTTCGATAACGACAACAATACAAACTAATGAAGGTAAGTAATACGATTGTTTATTTGTTTTTTTATGAAAAAGAAATTTATATTTTATTCGCTTAGATCTCCATTCAACATCTATTATTAATGAAAATCCTAATAGAGAATTTGAAATAGATCGAACAAATGAAGAACAAAATGTAACTTCATCGACTACTAATGAAAGAACACCAGCAAGAATATCTTTTCGTATGAATCCTGATGGAACACGAGTTAGTATATCACGACCAGCATTACCTACCAATCGTCAATCACCATTTTTTAGTTCTTTACGTCGAGTAAGATAATTCATTTCATTTTTTCGTAATATAAACATAATTTTTTTTTAGAACTCAACGGATGTAACTCCTATCCAACCAAATACAAAACAAATGTAAATATTTAACATTCGAGTTTTTTTGTTGTACAGCATCTATTATATCGTTAGTTAAGCTATATATACAAGATAGATTAATAAATCATGTATTCAGGTTAACAAAAAAAAAAAGCTTCTTTTAGTTTCTTAATGAAAAATAAATAAATAAATATAAAAAGTATTGTTTGATAAAGAAGATTAAATCTATAGTAGAATCAATTTATTTTTGGTATGATATTCAATAATTAATTTTCATCTACAGTTTTGATCAAAATTATAGGACCATGTGCATTCGGGTATATTTTATTTAAATACGGAATCATATTTTCGTTATTTATGGATCAGAGGTATGTTAGTTTTGCTTGAAAGTAATACATATTTGAATAAAACATACTCGAATGCATATAATAATAGGCTTTAAATTGAAGTTTATTTCAATCTAAAGAAGAAACGAATTGAAAGAAAGATAATAAATGCTTCCATTACCAATCATAAAATTGCATAGTCTCTACCAGAGAAATCAATATATACTGTACATAGAAAACATGCCTATGCAGTCAGTGATATAATGAAGTTATTTTTTTTTTACTTATACATTGACATATGGTTCAGTAATGATCAAAAGAAAAAAAAATAAACTCATGTATCATTTATTAAAAGTCTTTTCTATAACCAATTTGATCCCAAAAATCACAATCATCTTCCAAATAATTATCTTTCACTTGTAATGGATCTTGAAAATACATATATTTTTCATAAGTATTGTTTCCTATTGGCCATTGTATTGGTACACTTAATGGTTGATTTGGATTTTGAGTTTTAGCAAAATTTGTCCAATAATTTGCTATACTTTGAGATACACGTTGACCAGCATCAGTAAAATTTATCCAATTCGATTCAAATAAATATGATAATTCATCACCATGACATACATGTCCATTACAAATATCTTCATTTTTTTTCTTGTCAGAATTTAATGGATAACCAAATACATAAGAATATAAAGCAGCTTTACGAGCAAATATACGTGTTGGACAAGCAAAAACCCATTGTGTAGCAATTTGAGATAAAAGTGATCTTTGATCTCCTTCACCTACAGGTGGATAACGTTCAAGAACTTTCAAAGCTTTACCTCGAAAGAATGCAAAAGCTATCTCAGCATAAAGCTTAGGTAAAATAGGTTGATTCCATTTGTTATAAATAAAGACTAAACCTTCATCGGTAACTGTACCCATAATAAGAGGTTTTATAGGAAATGATAAATTTTGTATAGTTTCATAGAGTTGACCATGAACAATAATATTATCAATTACAGGTACCCATGGTTCAAATAATAGTAATACTTCTAATGATGTAATCTTTCCATTTACTATTTCTTGAGCAGCAGTAATATTATCAACAGTTGCTGCACGAAAACAAGCTATATCATTAAAAGAACAATGAAGTTGTTCAGCGAGAAAAACACCAGGTGTTATATATTGTGCATAAGTCCTATATGAATTATATATAAATATTAAAAATATATATATTTCATCTTATTTCTTGTACCGAAATGGTATTGCCATAGGTGCACTTTGAATGATAACTCGTTGAAAAAATGATTGCATATCACGTGCTACATAATGTAATGCAACAGATTGTGCACCAGCACTTTGACCAAATAAAGTGATCTAAACAAGAACATATTTATTATATATAATATCATGTTATTCTGAAAAACCTCATTTGGATCTCCTCCAAATGCATTAATATTTGCTTTGATCCATGCAATAGCTAAACGTTGATCAAGTATACCATAATTACCTTTGATATCATTTGGACCAGTTCCAGTTGCAAAAAATCCAAGAACACCTTTATTAATATATACGTACATTGTTTAAAAAATTATTATGCTTTTTATTCTTGTTTTCGACTTACCAAGTCTATATTGAATGAATGCAACAATAACATTCGTTGTATTGACTAAACGTTCAGCATTATAGATAGAAGCAGATGCATCAAAATGTTGAAATTCACCACCAGGAATAAAGATCATAACAGGTAAAGGAGTAGATTGTGATGCTAGTGTTGTTAAGGGAGTAAAAATATTCAAATAAAGACAATCTTCAGAAAACTATACATTGATGACAGAAAAAAACCAGGTAAAAGTCTCAAGTTTTTATCTCAGTTAAAAGTATTACATGTGGCGGACATAAAGGAGACGATGGATTGCATGGTGGTTGAGGACAGGCAGGTGCTCGTGAGGTAGCATTAATTACTTTTGGAAACCATTTTGTAATAGGTACTGGTGAATTCCATCTAGACATATATTTGATCTGACATTGTCAAGAATTTAACATTTATAATTACCTTAATTCATTAATAGGTGCTTGAGCAAATGGAATACCATAGAAAATACGAGCTAAATTTGTTTGATAGCCAAGTATATCACCATACTTTGTATGGACAATAGTAGGTTCATTTGTATATCCATTTCTTATCAAATAAGTAAAAAAAACAAATAATATCATACAGACTATCATTCTTCAAGTGAATCAATGTTGAAATGTTATGCGTGTATTTGTATTTGTGAATAAAATGTGCTTCTACGGTTTGTTTATTTCTTTACTGATAAGAAAAAGAGAATAGTCTACAAAAGATAGAATATTTTACACTGACTTTAGGATCATGCAAAAAACTCTTTTATAAGAACAAAAAGAAAATAGTTGTCTTTTATCAGACATTTGACTTTCTTTTTAGTTTGAAACATCAAATGAAATTTTTGATCATCATTCAAGTTCGATTTGTATTTCAATAAATACTTTCAGTATGTAGATCTCTTTGCTGAAATCTTTTTTTTTGCAATTGATGTCAACATAAATAAACAAAAATGTTCTATCATTTGAAGTATCAATAGACATTTATATTGGATTAGAAATATTCAATTAATTGAACAAAAACAATGTATGATGTCAGATAATCACATCATCGTCTTCAAGACATTTTATTCGAAAATCCGATAAAATCATCAAATTACGCTACTAAAATCATGTTATTTTTCATCATAATTACAAAAAGATCGAACAGTGTTTTTTTATCTCTTATTCAAATTAATTAACTGGATAAATTCGAATAAGATTTGTAGTGTAATTCATATGTACATTTGTAAAACAAAAAAAAACACACTTACTACTGTGGTACATCGCAAAAAAACAACAACAACTAAATATAGGCTAGTGAGCATTAGAACTAATCAAGGAAGTATGTAAGAGATTAGCGCATATACAATTGTGATGACATTAATTCTTGTGAACTGCATCCAGAATGAGATAGGTTATGAATGGGATTTCGAGAATTTTTTGCATTGTCGGACAGCACATATGAAAACATTATCATTTATGAAATTATTGATACTTTTTTCTTAAAGTTTTTGCTTAAGTTCTTGATGTGTTGAGAATTTTTCCATAGGTTTCCGATAATGGAAATTTATATCAATTATGTGTTTGACAATATGAAATAAATGAAATTTTTTTCTATGCCGTTTCACAATATAAGAACGTCATTCTCAAAGCGAAAATCTATGTTACTTTTTTTTTTACTTATTCCTTGAAAAATTTTTCGACCGTTTTATATAATTGAAAGTTCAGGAACATCTTTGAATGAGATGATAATTTAACAGACTTGAACTTTTTATTTTCTAATTCATACTTTTCGAATATATCATCATAGTTGTTTTTTCGATTTTTGAAAATAAAAAATTCTTCAATTCAAAATCTGTTTCGTTCGATTTGAAGAAGCAATCTTTACCAGATGATGAATGCATACTTTTTGAATCTGAATAAAATTTAACAGAAATTTTTATTTCTTTTAATCAAAATAAAATAAATTTGCAACCCAATATGAAAATAAATTGTTAATAATAAATTATTGTTTGTGAAATATCTATTCGTTTTTGAAGCTATCTCATTAACCGAATGTTGATTACAACCATCATTTGAACATGTATAAATACAAAACAAATCTGATGTTTCATATATATCAATTTCTGATATTGGTGGATCACATTTTTGTAATGTATGCTGAATCATAGCACAACCACGACGTACATACACTCCTAAATAAAACAGAAAGAAACTATACATTGAAAAAAATGCAAGCGCGTAATAAAGATTAAAAAAGAAGTGATTCATTTTTTTCTTGCTATTCAGTTACAAAAAGTATGACGATTGTGTAATGACATATTACAAATGCACATAAAGAATGAAATAGTAGTATATAAATATGATTTAGAAGTGTCTTTTTACTACATTTAATAATGGCTTCAAATCAATCAACAAAAAATGTTATTATGATTCGACCAGCTTGTTTTTGTTTTAATACAGAAACAGCTATTTCAAATGCATTTCAAAATGATCAATATGCTAATTTATCGTTAGCAGATAAAATTCAACAACAAGCATTACAAGAATTCGATCATATGGTTGAAAAACTTCGTTCACATGATGTTCATGTTGATGTATTTGATGATACATTATCACCAATAAAACCTGATGCTATTTTTCCAAATAATTGGTTTACAACACATTCGGATGGAACAATTATTCTCTATCCAATGCTTGCAGAAAGTCGTCGTCTTGAACGTCGAGAAGATATCATTAAAAGATTATCTCAAACATATCATGTCACTGCTATTATTGATTTAAGTGTATATGAACAACGAAATCAATATCTTGAAGGTACTGGTTCATTAGTACTTGATCGTATAAATAAAATTGTCTATGCTGTACGATCACCGCGTACACATGAAACAATTATTCAACATTTTACTAAATTAATGAATTATCAACAACCTCCTATTATATTTGATAGTGTCGATGATAAACACAAATCAATTTATCATACAAATGTTATGATGGCTATTGGTACACATGTTGCTATAATATGTTTGGAATCCATTGTTGATAAAGATCAAAGAAACATTATTGTAAAATCACTTGAACAAAATGAAAAACGAAAAATTGTTAATATTACACTTGAACAAAT